CCTGGGGCAGCACAAAGTGTAAATACGCCGCTGGTGGAGACAAGACCAGTCACCCTGCACAAGAAGAGAGATCAGCTGTGGGCGGTCTTTATTACAGGGGGGACGGAGACAAGACCAGTCACCCTGCACAAGGACAGAGAGCAGCTGTGGGCGGTCTTTATTACAGGAAGCTCCAAGTTTTGCACAGATCTGGAGGGAATACACAAAGCTCACCATGATTCAAGAATACACAGGACTCTTGTATGAGGACAATATCTGCTGATCCCGGAGGTCAGATTTAGGTTGATGCAGCATCGCCTACATCTGACGCCTACGCCACCCAGTGGCCATCGAGGAGAATACTGAGTCACATCTAAAAGGGATGCCGAGGATGCCTTTGTTCATGTAACATGGGCTGGTAAATTCCTCCTATAGGGTGACTGCAGCTGTGACTCTCAGAAAGACAATGGAGCCGCCTGTGTTGAAACATTTGTTGCCTGCGATCATTCTGGGCTTCGTAACATACCCCCCGGAGGTGCCCGGACTGAAGAATGGCCTGGCGCTCACCCCCCCGATGGGCTGGTTACACTGGCAAAGGTTCATGTGTCAGACCGACTGCAAAAACTATCCCACCTCTTGTATCAAGTAAGTGACAACAGTCCCGTGACCACCGAAAGGTGAAGAGGAAGTAACAAAAAAGCTGTAATTCTGACATTCACCGAACATTCACTGCAGGCGAAGCTTTCCGATGCATGTGTGTGTTTTAAATGACAGCGGTTTGATTCACCAGCAGTGAATGCTTCGCGAAAAGCCACATTTTGTCGATGTGCTCCTTGCACGTTTGGCTTTGGAAAGAACACACTGTGTGATGTCACCGCCCCTCGCCCAATCAGAGGAAGTCTTGCATTATTTAAGAAAAATACTAAGTGGTTCCGGAACGCACTGCATCGCATTGCGGCCGGCTCAGTATTTCGTGGGGGCGTGGCTGGCCATTGAAGTGAATGGCACCGTGGCCACGCCCTCCAGCCGCAATGCCCGCAGGGGATCGCCTCTGGTCCGGTGCGATCTAAATGCTACGAGCACTATTTTGATCGCCCTGGACGGCGATGCGGTGCGTTCCAGCCAGAAGGTGGCTGGAACGCACTGCATATGCTGTGAACAGGCTCTAAAGGAGAGGTAAAGTCCCGGCATCTCCTCTCCAGTTATAACATCAGCATTGTAATAGGAATTTATACTGGAGATGTTTCTGATACAATCAAAGCTTACTGGAAAAAATGCCTTTTATGTAGTGGGCGCCGCCTTCCGTCTGTCCATCACTTCCATCAACTTCCTGTATTCCCAGCATGCTTTGCATCTCTCTCCCTGCTGCTTGATGTGATGCGATCTCCATTTCTCAGGACAACATATATCCCATCATGCATTGCTCCCAGCAAGCAATGATGATGTTACATTGTTCAGACGTTGAGTTGTAGTTCAGTAGGCAGCTCTGTGAGAGCGGTGACACCAGGAAGTTCATATTCGCAGGGCTGAGTGAAATGGTGTCAGTGCATTGAGGAAGTCCGTCCTATGGACACCTGCGGAGTACAATCTTCTAGGTGGATCTTGTTATTAGGAGAGGGATAGAACTTCACATGTAGATTTGGTCGTTTTTGACCATAGACATCCTATAAGTATAAATGAAGCACTCTAAATGGCTTTAGTTCACCATTAAAGGAGAACTATTGTCAGTCATGCAGCTGGGCGGATCCAGACATAATTGTCGGGATCCGCTGCGGCGTCTCAGTATACAGCGAGCAGCAGTCCCCTATATACTGAGCTTAGGGTGACGGGAGGACGCTAGTTTGTGTCCTCCCGTTACCCATAGAACTATGGGGAAAAACACTGACCCCATAGTTCTCCTTTAATATACCAACATGGACGGTGATGCTGCAAACATGACCAGCCACCCATCACAGTTCAGCACACACAGGTAATGAGAGATGTTAACTTCATCAAAGTTCTTCAGCTTTGTAACTTTGCTCAACCTTTTTTTTTAACATAATTGTTTAATTATTACTTTAGATCAGGGATAGGCAAACTCCGGCCCCTCCCGCTATGGTGAAACTACAAATCCCATTATGTTTCTGGCCCTGAGAGTCATGCCTGTAGCTGTCAGAGTGTTGCAATGCCTCATGGGACTTGTAGTTACACCGCAGCCGTAGGGGGTGGAGGTTGCCTATCTCTGCTATAGATATTATGTGGCAATGTTTCGTAAGAGAACTCCGATATCATCTCAGATTGTCAAGTACGTGACTCGGACGTCTTCAGACGCAGGAAGCTCATGCAGCTTAAAAGCTGAAGTTTAATCAAATAAAAGCAGATTAGACTTCAACTTTAAAAGTCATTGCCAGACCTCCTTATTTCAGAAAATAATTTGAGTTCCACACCCCTGCTGCCCCTCTACTCCCTGCTCCCCCGAGGCCGGGCCTTGGTTGGCCTTGTGGGAAATCCGGCCATGATCATTTATTATATTCTATTAGGAAACATTGGTACATAACATGTCCATATTATGCCCTCCTGAAAGGAAGGCCGGGGGTCAGAAATTACCTGCAGATGGAAACCAATTTCCTTTCCCTCTGATTCTTTCCTATAGTGTCCTCTACGTGCCGCATTTCATTTTTTAATATTTATGGTTTCTTTCCAAGTGACCAGCTCTTCATGCAGATGGCTGACATAATGGTGTCCAATGGATGGCTGAAGGCGGGATATAAATATCTGTGCATTGACGACTGCTGGCTGGCTCCACAAAGAGACAAAAACAACAGACTCCAGGCCGACCCCGACCGATTTCCAGGAGGCATCAAGAAACTCGCCGATTACGTGAGTCATTCGCAGCGGATTTCTGTTTTTAGGGGTCTACTTATAAATCTTCCACCGAGCCCTATGCTGCGTGGCCCTCCCACCACTAGATGGAGCTGAGGAGCAAAGGAATTTCCCATGCTCCTCGGCTCCATCTAGTGGGTGCAAACAGCATTCACGCAGCGAACGGCTGGGCAGAAGATTTATAAGGCGTTGTTGCTGATGGTGGAACTCCGGGTAGATATAACAGGTGCACATGAACGCAGCTGTGCATATTCTGTATAGAAACCCATATGTTTTTCTTAGTTACATGATCGCGGCCTGCTGTTTGGAATATACCAAGACGTGGGCACGAAAACCTGCGCCGGATATCCAGGAAGTCAAGATTTTTACGAGTTGGACGCGCAAACGTTTGCAGATTGGGGGGTGGACCTACTCAAATTTGATGGATGTAATTGTGGAACTCTGGAAGAGTTGGAAGATGGTGAGTTGAGTAGTCCTTATAAGCATGCTACAAACATATAGTTATGTTGAAAAAAAGAGACAAGTCCATCGAGTTCACCATGGTTATGTCTTGTTTCCGCACATACACCCACCAAGCAATTTATTAGGAACACTATATTGATACTAGGTTGTGCCTCCATCACTTCTTCTTGGCATGGGTTCCACGTTCCACCAACGTTCCTTTTGAGATTCTGCTCCATGTTGACATGATTGGGGCATGTCATTTCTGCAGATCCATTCTGTGAATCTACCGCACCCAAAATGTGTTCTGCCACATCCCAAAGGTGGCCTACTGGATTCAGTTCTGGTGACTGGCCTACCATCGGTGTTCCTCAACAGAAATCAGGGATCTTCAGGCCAGACTACAGACATTCCTTTTGAGATTCTGCTCCATGTTGACTTGATTGAGGCATGACATTTTTGCAGATCCATTCTGCGGATCTATCCACACCCCAAAGGTGTTCTACCACATCCAAAATGTGTTCTGCCACATCCAAAAGTGGCCTACTGGATTCAGTTCTGGTGACTGCTCTTCAATCTGTGTTCCTCACTAAAAATCAAAACCGAAAAATGGTCACCAGCACTCCGGGTTTTCTTCAAAACGAAATCCTTTTATTCTTTCATGCCGGTCATATCGCCATGCGTGGCAACGTTTTGGAACCTGTCTGGTCCCTTCATCAGGCAAACATCACTTTTGTTTGCCTGATGAAGGGACGGGACAGGTTCCGAAAGGTTGCCACGCATGGTGATATGACCTGCATGAAGCAATAAAAGGATTTTGTTTTGAAGAAAACCTGGAGTGCTGGTGACCATTTTTCTGTTCTGCAGGTGTTTGGCGGCGCCATCCGCGGCCACTTCATTAGGAGTTCCACACCCCTGCTGCCCCTCTACTCCCTGCTCCCCCGAGGCCGGGCCTTGGTTGGCCTTGTGGGAAATCCGGCCATGATCATTTATTATATTCTATTAGGAAACATTGGTACATAACATGTCCATATTATGCCCTCCTGAAAGGAAGGCCGGGGGTCAGAAATTACCTGCAGATGGAAACCAATTTCCTTTCCCTCTGATTCTTTCCTATAGTGTCCTCTACGTGCCGCATTTCATTTTTTAATATTTATGGTTTCTTTCCAAGTGACCAGCTCTTCATGCAGATGGCTGACATAATGGTGTCCAATGGATGGCTGAAGGCGGGATATAAATATCTGTGCATTGACGACTGCTGGCTGGCTCCACAAAGAGACAAAAACAACAGACTCCAGGCCGACCCCGACCGATTTCCAGGAGGCATCAAGAAACTCGCCGATTACGTGAGTCATTCGCAGCGGATTTCTGTTTTTAGGGGTCTACTTATAAATCTTCCACCGAGCCCTATGCTGCGTGGCCCTCCCACCACTAGATGGAGCTGAGGAGCAAAGGAATTTCCCATGCTCCTCGGCTCCATCTAGTGGGTGCAAACAGCATTCACGCAGCGAACGGCTGGGCAGAAGATTTATAAGGCGTTGTTGCTGATGGTGGAACTCCGGGTAGATATAACAGGTGCACATGAACGCAGCTGTGCATATTCTGTATAGAAACCCATATGTTTTTCTTAGTTACATGATCGCGGCCTGCTGTTTGGAATATACCAAGACGTGGGCACGAAAACCTGCGCCGGATATCCAGGAAGTCAAGATTTTTACGAGTTGGACGCGCAAACGTTTGCAGATTGGGGGGTGGACCTACTCAAATTTGATGGATGTAATTGTGGAACTCTGGAAGAGTTGGAAGATGGTGAGTTGAGTAGTCCTTATAAGCATGCTACAAACATATAGTTATGTTGAAAAAAAGAGACAAGTCCATCGAGTTCACCATGGTTATGTCTTGTTTCCGCACATACACCCACCAAGCAATTTATTAGGAACACTATATTGATACTAGGTTGTGCCTCCATCACTTCTTCTTGGCATGGGTTCCACGTTCCACCAACGTTCCTTTTGAGATTCTGCTCCATGTTGACATGATTGGGGCATGTCATTTCTGCAGATCCATTCTGTGAATCTACCGCACCCAAAATGTGTTCTGCCACATCCCAAAGGTGGCCTACTGGATTCAGTTCTGGTGACTGGCCTACCATCGGTGTTCCTCAACAGAAATCAGGGATCTTCAGGCCAGACTACAGACATTCCTTTTGAGATTCTGCTCCATGTTGACTTGATTGAGGCATGACATTTTTGCAGATCCATTCTGCGGATCTATCCACACCCCAAAGGTGTTCTACCACATCCAAAATGTGTTCTGCCACATCCAAAAGTGGCCTACTGGATTCAGTTCTGGTGACTGCTCTTCAATCTGTGTTCCTCACTAAAAATCAAAACCGAAAAATGGTCACCAGCACTCCGGGTTTTCTTCAAAACGAAATCCTTTTATTCTTTCATGCCGGTCATATCGCCATGCGTGGCAACGTTTTGGAACCTGTCTGGTCCCTTCATCAGGCAAACATCACTTTTGTTTGCCTGATGAAGGGACGGGACAGGTTCCGAAAGGTTGCCACGCATGGTGATATGACCTGCATGAAGCAATAAAAGGATTTTGTTTTGAAGAAAACCTGGAGTGCTGGTGACCATTTTTCTGTTCTGCAGGTGTTTGGCGGCGCCATCCGCGGCCACTTCAGCCCCCCCCCCCCCCCTCCCCCCACATTGTATGGGGCTTCTCGGTTAGGAGTGCGGTGGGACTCTCTATTTGAATGTATCAATAAAAATCAACGTTCATCGGATCAGGCTACAAACATTCCTTTGAGATTCTGCTCCATGTTGACTTGATTGAGGCATGACATTTCTGCAGATTCATTCTGTGGATCTACCGCACCCCAAAGGTGTTCTACCACATCCAAAATGTGTTCTGCCACATCCCAAAGGTTGCCTACTGGATTCAGTTCTGGGGACTGGCTTACCATCTGTGTCCCTCAACAAAAATGAAGGTTCATGATGAGTGTTTAGAGTTATTGGATAAACCTGCAACTTGATATGCCCTAAAGAAAATCTATTGATGCATTGTATTGGGTGTATTGATGAAGGGCACGGTCATTTTTTATGACACTGGAAATATAATATGACTAGAGTTGCCCCTTGTACGTCACATAGGATTGTGGAACTGCAGGACCAACGTCCTAAAGAAGAACAGATAATCTGACGACCTTCTATGCAGCTCAGCTGTACCAACTCTTTGGGGCTGTTTTCAGCCTGGAGATCCTGCCAGTAAGAGCACTTCCTGTCTGAAATGGACCGCGCTAAGCCGCTGCCTCTCTATTAGCAGCAGCGTTGTCAGCCTGCCTTTGGTGAACCTTCACTTGACCATTGGGCTGCCTTTTAGGTCTACAGGTGGAATGCAGAGAGTTGATAGGCATTCCAATGACCTTTGGATGTTATTTCATGATGGCCTCCTACTGGCATATGAAACTTTTAATATACACCCCGTCCATTCTGCTACTCTATCATTGCAGGGTATCGTCGTATGTCTATTGCACTGAACCGTACTGGGAGGAATATTGTGTATTCCTGTGAATGGCCGCTGTATGCTCGGCGTGAAACACAGGTGAGTGGGAATAGTATTCATTCTTCCTTTTAAGGGCCAAATGTTACTTTCCATAGACTTCTCCCATGATCCATGTCAAGAAGCTTTCCACTTTTATTAATAGGGATTGATGAACTGACATATCAGTCTGGATGTCAAGCTTTCAAAAACTGAACTTATGATATTTCCTCCCGCCCGTGCACCTTCCTAAAACTATTCCCTTGAGATTGATAACACAACCATCCCACCCTCCCCCCATGCCAAGGTGCTAGGTGTTATCCTTGACTCATACCTCACCTTTCTTCCCCACATCCAATCACTATCCAAATCTTGCCGCCTTCACCTTCGTAACATCTCCAAAATACGCCCCTTCCTCACCAATGAGACCACAAAGCTACTCATCCAATCACTTGTTATCTCTCGTCTTGACTATTGCAACTCCCTCTTCATTGGTCTACCTCTACACAGACTCCTCCCTATACTTTAGGCGATCCCTTAAGACTCATCTCTTCAGGGAAGCCCAACCCACCTCAACCTATCAACCTAACCGCTCAACCATCACGTTCTCAAACAATTCATCCCCACACAGCTCCCTCCTCATTTATCACTGGCCCCTCCCCTTTTAGATTGTAAGCCCTCAGGGGCAGGGCCCTCCTTACCATCTTGTCTTGAATTGTGTTGTGATTCTAATGTCTTCCTTATATTGTAAAGCGCTGCGCAAACTGCTGGCGCTATATAAATCCTGTATAATAATAACAACAAAGGTGCACATGTTTGAAGTCCGCTCTGTGTGACAGCCATGGCTCCCTCCATAGATACAGTGGAGAAATGAGTGTAGATGTGAAGGGACATGAAGTGTGTTATTTGCAGGACTACCCGGCTAAAAAAGGGGAAAACCTGAAAAACAAATGCACCCACAACATCTAAGGATTGGCAAGCTGCAATATATAACATTTTGGAGAAATTTCCAAAATACTTTTGCAATTGGGGCTTCCCACCCCCCATGCCCTGCAAGAGTAAAATGCTTGTTCTTGTCTAGGGTACCGTTACCATACCGTTTTACTTACCGTGTCCCCGCTTCCCCAGCAACTGCCAAGCTCCTCTTTTCTCTCCGATGCCCTGGTTGTGGGTGGAGCCATCAGTCTCCTCACTTACAATGCAGGATTGATGGTCCTTCTTTGCATGCAGTGATGTCAGAGCGCGACTGATGGGGCACCGAAGGGAAGCGGCTTTGGGAGAGGAGGAAGCGGTTGCATTGAGAGGAGGAAGCCTGCAGGAGCGAGGGATAAGGTAAGTAAAACTACCTTTTAATGGTACCCTAGTGGAGCGTTTAACCCTTACTGTGTGGGGGGAACCCCACCACAAGGGTAGTTTTAAATTTATCCTGGAGTTCAGCTTTAAGATAAGTCCTAACCTTACATCTGCATAATCGCCCCATCCTGCACCAGGCACCTCTATACTGCACCAAAGCACCATCTCCCGGCCTCAAAAATATTGGATGGTGTCATAGCTCCCCGACCCCTGAAGGCCACCCCCATTACTACATTTTTTTTTCTATATTTGTTTATTCTTTTTAATATACTGTATACTCCCTCTTTTATGATTCCCAGGTTAACTATACGGAAGTTGCTGAATACTGCAACTCGTGGAGAAATTTTGACGATATTGCAGACTCGTGGTCAAGTGTGAAGACTATCATGGATTTCACCGCAGCTTTCCAAGATAGGCTGGTGCCTGCAGCTGGTCCGGGAGCTTGGAACGACCCAGACATGGTCAGAGGATAACAATTCTATTTCTAGACATAACTTATAGATATAATGTCGCTGACATATTAAATATAAGCTGCCACGGAAATCTTGAATGCAAATAATATAAAATTGTTGGGCGTTGGGTATGGATAATGTCTCTTCCATGGCTGATGTTGTAGTAGTGGTCGCAGGTTTGGCTCTTTTGCTGTTGTGGTTTTAACGTGGCATTTTGGTTATAAGGGTGTTATTATGTGTCGGGACTGGATGCGGACACTCTAGTCAGAGTATATAAGTAGTGAACATCTTCACCTCTAGCAGATGCATTTCCCATGAGGCAAGTGCACCTACCGTACTTCTATAAGTAAAAGATGGACACCGGCACTCCAAAGCCAATCCAGTACGTCTATTTAGTCACGTACTTGTTGCAAATGCAAAACACAAGATACAACGTTTCGGGGTCTTAGGATCCCCTTCATCGGGGAAACAAGTGACAAGTCATCACTTGTTTCCTTGATGAAGGGGATCCTGTGAGACCCCGAAAAGTTGTATCTTGTGTTTTGCATTTGCAACAAGTACGTGACTAAATAGACGTACTGGATTGGCTTTGGAGTGCCGGTCTCCATCTTTTACTTCTACTTTGACGGAAGCCACACGTTGACACCTGCTGCACCCACTTCTTATCTCATGGAGCAGCGGTTCTGAGTGTGATGGGTACACGGACTGTACCGTACTTGTATGCCCCCAGGACTTGGACTATATACTCTGACTACGAATGTCGCATGAGGCCCCCAGGTGCAGAGCAGTAGTACTGACTGGTGACAAGATACAAGACCGGTACAAGATTTGAGATACAAGACAGGTACAGGATTCGAGATACAAGACAGGTACAGGATTCAGGATACAGGATTCGAGATACAAGACAGGTACAGGATTGAAGATACAAGACAGGTACAGGATTGAAGATACAAGACAGGTACAGGATTCAAGATACAAGACAGGTACAGGATTCAGGATACAAGACAGATACAGGATTCGAGATATAAGACAGGTACAGGATTCAAGATGCAAGACAGGTACAGGATTCGAGATAGAAGACAGGTACAGGATTCAGGATACAAGACAGGTACAGGATTCGAGATAGAAGACAGGTACAGGATTCGAGATAGAAGACAGGTACAGGATTCAGGATACAAGACAGGTACAGGATTCGAGATACAAGACAGGTACAGGATTCAAGATACAAGACAGGTACAGGATTCAGGATACAAGACAGGTACAGGATTCAGGATACAAGACAGGTACAGGATTCAGGATACAAGACAGGTACAGGATTCAGGATACAAGACAGGTACAGGATTCAGGATACAAGACAGGTACAGGATTCAGGATACAAGACAGGTACAGGATTCGAGATACAAGACAGGTACAGGATTAAGGATACAAGACAGGTACAGGATTCAGGATACAAGACAGGTACAGGATTCAGGATACAAGACAGGTACAGGATTAAGGATACAAGACAGGTACAGGATTAAGGATAGAAGACAGGTACAGGATTCAGGATACAAGACAGGTACAGGATTCGAGATAGAAGACAGGTACAGGATTCGAGATAGAAGACAGGTACAGGATTCAGGATACAAGACAGGTACAGGATTCGAGATAGAAGACAGGTACAGGATTCAAGATACAAAACAGGTACAGGATTCAGGATACAAGACAGGTACAGGATTAAGGATACAAGACAGGTACAGGATTAAGGATACAGGCTTGTGTAGAGATAGCTAACACCTGACCCTCAAAAGCATACTCGTGTTTTCACTACATTCTTCTCAATATAACTTCAGACTTCCAAAACCCCTGTTTTTCTTGTTTTTCAAACAGCTTGTTATAGGTAACTTTGGATTGAGTTGGAATCAGCAAGTCACACAAATGGCTCTTTGGGCAATCATGGCTGCACCTTTATTAATGTCCAATGACTTGAGAGACATAAGCCTAGAGTCTACAGCTCTCCTTCAGAACCAAGAGGTCATCGCCATCAATCAAGATCCTCTGGGAGTACAAGGATACAGGTTACTCATGGTAAGAAAAGACAACGTGCCTTCAAATGGTCTTAAATACGTAGGTTGTGATCAAGACCAAGGTTTCCAAGCATCTCATCTCAAATTACACTACATTTCCAAACGTAGGTGGACACTTCTCCCAATTTATCCAAATGATGGTTTTCAGGTGATTCCATTGAAGGAACGGGTAATTCTACACTAGGGGTAGGCAACCTTGGAGTTGCAGGTGTGGTAAAACTAGAAATTCCCTCATTCATCTGCCTCTGGCAGTTGTCAGAGTCTTGCAGTGCCTCATGGGACTTTTAGTTTCACCACAGCTAGAATGCCAATGTTCTACAGGAAACAAAGGCAATTTGGACAATTTGTGCCCTTCCAAACATTGGTGAAGACCATTTTCTGTTCCACCATGACTGTCCCCTGTGTACAAAGCCACCTCTATAAAGACATGGTTTGACCAATTTTTTGTGTGAAGGAACTTGAGTATCCTGCACAGGGCCCTGACCTCAACCCTACTGAACACCTTTGGGGATGAATTAGAATGGGGATTGTGAGACGAGTCTTCTCATGCACAAACCCGGCTCCATAAAGACACGGTCTGACCAGTTTGTGAAGGCCACTCAAGTACTCCCGTACCAGAGCCCTGACCCCAACCCCATGGAACGTAGAAACACTTTATAGAACATAGGTGCACCATAGGAATTATTGAGTTCTTGCGTACAAACTAGACATGTGCACTGCCAAAAAATTCGTTTAGTTTCGTTTCGTTTTAAATTCGTATTTGTGTTATTTTGTTTTTCGGGATTCGGGTGTGAAAGCCAATTCGGATTCGGAATTCGGACGAAATTCGTTAGCTGTAGTTCGTTCGCACATTCGTTTCTTATTTCGTGCATACCTTCGTTCGTTTGCAGCAAAGTGCCATTTAAGGAGGAAAATGTTTTTCTTCAACGAACGAAACGAATAAGAAACGAAAACGAAACGAACGTTCGAACAAACTACCGCTACAGAATTTCGGAAACGGACATTCGGATTCGTTTGCATTCGTTATATCTGTAATTCGGACACATCCGAATGTCCGAATTTCCGAAAATTCATCCGAATTTCGATTCGAAACGAATCGCACATGTCTAGTACAAACCCAGCTCAATTAAGAGATATGGTCTGACCAGTGTGGTGTGGAGGAACTCAAGTGTCCTACACAGAGACCTGACCTCAACTCTACTGAACACCTTTGGGTTGAATTGGAATGCCCATTGGGAGCCAGGTCTTCTCATCCAACATCAGTACCTGACCTCACAAATGTAGGTTTTGCAATAAGAAGTGCAAATACTTTATTAGAATGATCTATAGAGGATGCAGTTCTAAACAAAGAACATTAACACCCTCCGGCCTCAGATTACTTACCGGGAGGACATTCATTTACACACCGGTGGGATTGCAAAAGTGGGGAAATAAATCAAAATATTAAAATTGACCCAAAATTATAATGTATACAATATTAGGAGAGCAGACCCATAACTGTGCAATCATCAAAACCCCATGCCCCCCTTTATGATTGGAGAGCTCTAGATTGAAATCAGCACGGGGGGCATGCTGGGCCTCTTCAGATAGACCACTTAGAGGACAAGGGTCCTTCTTTGCAGCATGCTGGCAAGGGACAGGCCCTTCTACTCAGCCTGTGGCTGCCTTCCAAGGAAAACCAGCTGTAAGACTTGGCACTGCTTTTTGCTTTGATGCATCTAGAATGTATGTAAAAGTTCAGTGGTGTAGATAAATCTCAACCTTTTACTTCTTCTTATTTCAGGCGGAATCTTTTGAACTGTGGGAGAAACCCCTTGACGGTGGATCTTTGGCCATCTCGGTAACAAACCGCCAAGAAATAGGTGGCCCCCGTTATTTTCCACTGCTACGAGCCGTACTATGGAAAGGGCTCGCTTGTGACACTTGCTACGTGACGCAGTTGCTTCCGACGCGCTTTGAATATGGCTATTTTAACTCCTCTCGTGCCTTGCCACTGCTGGTGAACCCATCGGGAACCGTGCTGCTGAGGCTGGAGTAAGGAAAAGCAAGAGCTTCTTAAAAGCCCAACGAATTTTGATTTGGAATTAAACGAATTGCACATGTCTAGTGCACACGCCCTGACCTGAAGTTCAGAGAAGCTGCACGGAGGAAGCCGGTAGTCAATAGCATGGCGTTGTTGTAAATAACCATTATGTATCCAGTTATTAAGATGTCCGGCGGGTATGATCCCGGTTAGACTTAACAGTGTTTCCAAAGGTGCCCATACAATGCACGATTCATTATGATCGAGAGTACGATCTGCCTGTCCAAGATGGGCAGATCGTACGTCTTTTTTAAAGTACTTTACAACCATCGCAAGACTAAGGTCTTGCGATGGTTGTAAAGTGTATGGCCACCTTTTAGGTCTCGTTCACACCTAGGCGTATTGCATATGCGCGTCTGTCGCGCGATTCGCGGTAATAAAGTTGCGCGACCGTCGCGCGTTTCCGAAGGCTACTTGGCTGTATCCCAATGGAAACGCGCAACAAAACGGCCCAAAGTAGTACCTGGACCTTTTCAGGCGTGGGCCGTTTTGTAGCGCGTTAGGGACGGGCGGAAATACGCCAAGGTGGGAACGAGACCATTGAATACAATGGGATTTATATTTTTGAGCGTTTTGTAGAGCGTTCGTCGAGCGTAGAACGCGCTACAAAACGTTCAGGTGTGAACGAGGGCTTAGAGTCTTCCGGGGCGGCAGGCTGCTGTCCTGGAAGATGATTGGGGACATATGTGTTATGAAGGGCTGACGCTTTAGAACTTTGAGAAGATTCAGGAAAAGCAAAAGCGACGTTTGAAACGGTCAAATATGAAAAATCAGAATTCTACGTCATTGCGAAAACAAATGTGAAAAGATGTAAATTTTATTATCGTTTTATTAAAGATTTTATTTCAAACTGTCTGGTTGTTTAGTATTTTTTTATACTCAAGTCATCATCTTTCTAAAAGTGATCGCAACAAGGCCTCATTCACACACACGCAAGAAAAATTGCATATTGCGTATATATGCGTCTATGCGAGCGTATATATGCGTGTATTATATGCAATCCCAGAATGCATCACTCGTAATGGAATTTTTAATGTGCTGTACGCATGTACATACACAGAAATACGCTGCCCGGGCGCATCTCTGTTCCATTCTGTTTTTGCGCATATATACGCTTACTTCCGCATTCCTTCGTGATTCAAGATAGGCCCATCACAGCGTCACGAAGGAATGGGGCACCCTGTGTAACCCCAAAAGCATTTGACCGCAATAAAATGGTCAATCTTTAACACAGCGCCAGCGGTGTGAGTGCAAAGGAGACAGCCTGCAATGGTCGTGATGCAGGACGCTAGCGTGGCAGCCCTCACTTGGTTTTAGGGAAACCTCAGCACTGCAAGGCAACACAAGACACAGAGAGCGCCTCCATCGCGTAAAAACTTTTAATTAAACAAATAAAAACTGGTGAAAAAGTACTCACAAAGGTCGAGTAAAAACAGGCATGTAAGGGTCAGAGCGCGAGGTGCTTTACCACCAGCTGTTCGTCCTCCCTGGTAATAGATGGTTTACGCATTTCTGAGGTCAGGCCTCCTTCTTCAGAACCAATCAAATGGTATTGAAACATGTTATTTGAAGTATGATATACCGAGATAAGGTCTATAGAGGGGGCGTTGTTTCAAGCTCTTATCAGGTTTGGATCAAAATGGGGTGGAAGGCATCTCCGGATCCAAGATTTTCTCAAACTTTTGCATCTTGTCCCGTCGTTTAGCTGTTATTCTTGTGTGTGTTTATATTATATAACCGGTGTTTAACATATCTATTGTATTATTCGATGATTTTGTATTGCTGTAGAATTTCTAATAAAAACTCATGATGGGGGAAAAAAAAAATGGTATTGAAACTTCACCCCGGTGTGCTGTTGGCACCAGTATGGAGTTCTGTTGGAAGCAACGCCATCCAAAGTCATCACGAGCACCCATTGTTTTTGGGGATATCCAGTAACAGGACACAGCCACGTGAAAAACACAAACTCGCAGAATCCCCACACAACTTTTTCCAGTTGTAACTGGTGCAAACGTATAAACTGGTCAGGTGGTGATATGAAGCAGAAACAGCCACCCGACAGGTTTACCTGGGAATTTTTGTTTAACACGTTACAGATTTGTTCAATGCTTAACATTCCGCACCGGTGGCGTAACTAGAGTTACAGGCGCCCGGGGCAGAACAAAATTTCCCCGGGTCTCCGTAAGCTGTCTCCTGCAGAGACCCCCACAGACCCCGCAGTCTGCCAGATCTCAGGGGGGCTGTGCAGAATCTATGCTGGGCCCTGCCAGCAGTCGTCCTCCTACCTGGCACTGGAAAAAAGGCCTCCTCAACTGCCTCGGCACCCAATCAATGTTGCTTCTGAAGTCTCCTCCATCTTACGCCTTTCCCCGCCTCCTCAGCTAGTCATTGGCCCTCAAGTCTCCACCATCTTCACCCCGCCTCTTTAATCTCCACCGGGCGTCCGCCCGCCCGATCTCCGCCCCCTGCTGCAGCTCTACCATGAAGGGCATTGAGCTAGTGCGTCCGCCCCATCTCCACCCCCTGCCGCTCTGTCCCGGTTCCCGTCTCCCACGATGGCCATTCAGCCAGTGGCGTAACAACCGGGGGGGTGGTCGGTGGTGCGGCGCCCCACCCCCGTCTCAGGCGCACCGCCCGCCCCTCGGTTGTTCCGGACTCCTCACTCCAAGTTACATCTCAGTGTTAGCTCAGCTCCTTTCCACCGGAGCAAGTAAAGCAACCACAGGAACACCCCATGACATGCAAATTGGTATTCCTCATCTTAAAATAGGGAGCAGGAACCAATTCAGGCTGACGCGTTTCAAACTAGTCCCAGAACTTTCACAAAGAACCAAAAATGGATGCGTTACCTCGCCGGCATATTTCTTGTGGTCTCCAGCAGCAACATCATCTACCGGCTAGTGCTACCTGCTTAGTGCCTTTGACACTGGAGGGGGCATTTGGCATGTGGACACACTGGAGGGGGCATTCAGCTGTTACTGTGACACCCGGGGTTCCTGTGCCTTTAACGAGGAATGGCTGCCTCCCGGAGAACCGGTACTTCCATTAGCATGGAGCCGGCTTCCCGGGCAATCAGGAAGCCAGGCCACGTGTCATAAACCGCAGCCCAGCTTCCTGATTAGCCAGGAAGCAAGCAACATTTTCTCTCACGGTACTGCCGGTTAGAGGAAATCTCCCTCTGACCGCACGTTCCGGTATTGGGGTTAAAGGAGAACTATGAGGTGAGTTATTTCCACTCACCTCATAGTTCTAGCCGACCTGTGACAATGAGACTGTCACAGGTCGGCTCAGTAGATCGGAAGGTGAGCGAACACATACCGGCGTTCGCTCACCTCTCGATCGTGTCACGGCTCTCTGACGTGACAGGGGGAGGGGCTGGATTCCCCGTTCCGATCCGCCAGCGCTGACTGGCGGAACAGCTGGCTCTGCCTTTAGATAGGCAGAGCCAGCTGTCACTCACGCAGCTGGGCGGATCCCGTCATCTACGTCGGGATCCGCTCCGGCGTCTCAGTATACCGCGAGCTGTAGCTCCCTATATACTGAGCCTAGGGTGACGGGAGGACGCTAGTTTGTGTCCTCCCGTTACCCTAAGGAGAACTATGGGGGAAAAACACTGACCCCCATAGTTCTCCTTTAAGTATCGGAGCATTTGGGCAAGTAGAAGTAGTCACCCAAATACTCGGTACCAACACCAGTATCGGTGCATGCCTAGTTGGGACCTCAATACAGAGGGGCCTTGACGGGGCTGTGTGGCTTCCACATATTTGGCAAAAGTTGAGCAGCTGAAACCTCTGGTTTTAACCCTGAAAGTGCCATTTTTTTTGGGCAGACCAGTTGGTAAGTGTGCCGGGAAGTTTTTTGTTTTGTTACCTGCTTAGCTCCCCTACAGTTCTGAGTTGGCCTAACCACCTTGGGATGTTCAGTCCACACATTGCATTCTCAAGACACATTAAACTAACACAAGTATGAGAGCATCTTTGTCATGCAAAATGGCAAACGCACTCCAACTTGTTACCAGCATTGCAGCGCGGTGCACACGGAAGGGCTTTATACAGTAAACCGTTTTCCCAGCACACTCACCAGCCAGCATGCAAAAAAAACCTGTTCTTAACCTTAGCGGTTACAGGTTTTTTGCATGCTGGCTGGTGAGTGCGCTGGGAAAACTTTTTGCTGTTTTACTGTATAAAGCCCTTCCGTGTGCACCGCGCTGCAATGCTGGTAACAAGTTGGAGTGCGCTTGCCATTTGTTTTGCCTGACTGATGGTGCAGTGACGCATGGGGGGGGGGGGGGTCTCAACTGCCGTTGGGATGTGCGGGGTCCCTTGACGGGAGGTTGGGCTTCCTCCTGACAAACCTGCACCCAATTTTATCAGTTGCCCCCATGTGCTCCAAGATGGAGACTCTGTTTAGAGTTAGGACCGCACTATATAGGAGGCGCCTCGACGCGGCTTTCACATTTTCTGCATCCAAAACCCGTTTTTAACCTTAGCATCTTTGTAATGACACGGGTCCAGATCTGAAAAACCCGGAGATCACCACCAGAGTCTTTGAGCGATGCAAGAAACAGCGAGGTGGCCCAAGGCTTCAGGTAAGGACACCCCATGGAAAAACGAAGGTCACCATTTTTACCAGTGCCCTGCCGCTCAACACAAACGGGTTCAAAAAAACAAGTGACCTGTAGGGCAGTGCAACCTACAGTCAGTCTTACAGGTAACGGCATGTCTAAGAATCTTCCAGGACAGCAACCTAAGTAGGCTTGCTGTCCTGGAAGATGATAGGAGAAACAATTGTTTTCTATGTGCCCTGTTCATGCCCCAAACAGAGTGATGTGCGGTGCGCTGCAAAAACAATGCCGACATGCCATGCCGCAGATCACCGTGCTGCTGTGTGATCTAAATGGAGTGTACACTCCAAAAAGTTTAGAGACAGCACACCGCCTACCCGCCCGACCAAACACCGCACCCTACCTACATGCTACAACT